GAGAAAAGGCACCAAAAAAGCACGAAAAAAGCACGAGAAAAAGCACGAGAAAGCGCACGAGATTTTGAAAGCGGGATTGGTGCTCCGAAGATTGTCCCCGCGGAAACGGTGGATCAGGACACCGGTGGTCCTGGGACTCCGGGGGTGGCCCTGGGGGAGGGGGTTGGGGAGTCTGAGCGGGTTGGGGGGTCTCCTGCCTGGCAGGTTCCTGCCTGGCAGGTTCTTCGACGTTGTGCGTGGCATGGCAAAAGAATTTCCATGAGCCATGTGAGCGTCTCCTGCGAGACATGCCCATGCAGCCATGCATATGATGCAATATAAATTAAGGATATGAATGATATTATTATATATAACTCAACATCAGGTTGGTGAAAGACTGGGAGTGAATGAGATGAGAGGGCCTTCGGGAGTGAATGAGATGAGATGAATGAGATGAGATGACAGGGTTCTAAACCTGCAAACTTCAAATCACAATTGAAGATGGTACCTTGTTGAAGTGGCCTGATTTCAGTTTGAGATTTCTGGTGCTTTTTCTCTTAGTAAGTTTAGTAGGGAAAGCATTTTGCGACTGTTACTGGGGGGGGGGCAGGGTCCAATTTATATCGGTGAAAGGGGCCAGGGCATGCCATGTTGTAAAGAAGGGGTGTGGCCAGGGAACTGACATCTAGCCAGGGTTATTAGTCTATTTGGTGTAAATTGGTTGCAATTTGTGCGTGCTTCCTGAACCTATGGCCCAACACCACCTTTTTTTGTAGAGACCTTCCTAGTCAATGATGTAGTTTTTACAAGCCATTCTGAGGCTCAGTTCTGACGTTGGTGTATGCTGGTGTGATCTTGTATCACATGGTCAGCCACGGATTACGGTATGTTTATGAAACCTCTAGCAAGAACCCCCCCCCATATACAAGTAAATCGGAACATCGTGCCCATGTTCGGCGCGAACGCTCCGTCGCCGCGCGCCAGGCGACGAGTACCGCAGCCACTGCGACGGACGCTGCGGCGCACGGCCGAGCGCGCAGGATCGGATCGATGCTCGACGGCGGAGGTGTTGGTCGCCCCTAGAAGTCCATAGCGTTCCGAATTCCTCAATAGAATCAGTCCCAGACACGACCCATGGGACTGCTATAGATGCCGATCAGGCCAGGGGTGGTGCCAGGGGGTCAATGTAGGCATATATGGCATACATGGAGAGTCTGGGAGTGATTTGCACGTGTTTGATTTTTACATGTCTTGACAACCCAGGTCCAATATACGATGTTCCAGGTAGCAGTACTACTGTTGATGGACAAAATCCTGCACCACTTTGCGCACACTTTTCTTGCTGCCCTCGTCCTCCCTCGTTAACATTGGGGCCACCACAGTGAGAAAACAAAAACAAGTTGAAGGTCCAAAATCCTGCACCACCTCCTCAGAGGGGTCGCGCCAACATTGAATGAGGGGGCACGGGGGTTGCTATGCGACCCTTCCAGGGTAAATTGGTGAGGTGGTGCAGGATTTTGTCCATCAACAGTAGGGAACATGTAAAATTTACAATCAAAACCTTGAGAATGTGGGGCTGTGCCAGTTGCTGATCAGTTGCCATGTCCTACAAATTGGACTTGGGTGCCTTCTGTCATCTATTATAGGTGGTGCCTTCTTGCCATGGTGTTGCCCGCAGATTTGATGACTGTACCACGGGACCGGATGACCACCCCGAAGTTTCTTTTCACTGCACGCAGGCTGACATGGCTTGACCAATGGGCTTCAAGAGTTAAAAAACAGGACAGACGGCACACAGATGTTGCGGTTCAAGCGCAGGTTCCACCGAATCAGCGCAAGCGGAGCGTCAGAAATATTTCCGGGCTCCAATGGAAAAGGTGTGGTGAAAGGGTTAATACACCCAGGAAGATGAACATGGAACCTGATGGAATGGACCTGCAAGGAAGACTGTTTTCCTCTACAACCCAGTGGGTCAATATAAATGCAGGAACATATTCCATATACCCAGAGGCGACCCTGGACCTGAACCAACTGCTGCATATATTGGTTCGGTCCATTTCACCCTAGTTGTGAGGGTCAAAACCCAGACCGCGAACGGGTTGGGTCCAAACTCTGAGCCCAAGCTGGGTACATGGCTTGTGGGGGTATGGATGGATCATGCTGGATCCCATCGGCGACCCTTAGGGACCCCAATTGCTACATGTTGGTGAAGCTTTCAACAGTCCGAACGGGGATCCAGTCGTACCTCCTCCTCAGGTTCGGTGCGACTGGCCCCTCCCGGTACATAACACTGTCGAACACATCACCGTACCTCAGGGGGTCACCGGCTTCGCGGCCCAACACCGTTGGGTCGCTTCACGGTCGCTTCACGACCCGTGAACCTGAGGCGACCAGCATCATCTACTGCCAAGTGGCCGACGAAGGTCCGCTGCGACGGACACGCTTCACGACACCGTGGCAAACGTCGCGTAGCGTGACGGTGCAATGACGAGGTGGCAACGCTGAAAGGAGATCTACCTGTAGGTGGTTTCGGATGCTATTTTCAGCCTTGACTTGGGTTGGAACCCACTGACTATACAGGTAACAGTTTTCAGGTGAGTAAAAAGAACAACACCCACCAGAAATGAGAAGATCTAGATCTATACATCTACCAGATTCTACCAGCACCCTCCTAAGTCGAAGGTCACCCGACTTTTAAGTCTTGCAAAATGCCACCGGAGACCACTCGGAGATCTGTTGATCGTCGGGGTCCTAGTAAGTCGATCATAGAAATATGGCTACGATAATCTCCTTTCAACTGAAGGGCGAAGGACCAAGACCCATATCCATGTTGACCTTGTCCGTTGTCCTCACGGGTCCTCGTTTCTTTTTTGTGAACCGCTGTTTTACGAAGGATCGTAGACTACAACACCAGGTTAACCCTACTCTTTGAATGGTCTAACTTTCTCCAGGCTTGGCAATGGGCCTCAGTTTTCTTCCCTGGGGTAAGATATGTTTCAACAGCCAACTTCTGCAAAGTAAGCACCCAGGGTATGAATCAAGTTGGGACACTTTTGAGTCCACAAGCCTGGAGGATCATTGTCACTTTGTGTTGGTGAACATGAGAGTGTGACAGAACGTGTACAGTGGTTTCAGAGGTTCGATGGCACTGTCACCCCTACATGTCTTAGACAGATGGGTGTCCAGATGTTCACCTCTTTGGCGATTGTGCCATCTACTCTGAAACCACTGCAACCCCAAACATGGTGGGTCATGGCACGTGGTAGGTCAACCAGTCCAGAACGACCAGTTGAACCGGTGGATGACCGGACCCCCCTAATCCACCCACCCACCCCCTGTCCCATCTTCAAAACGGTTCGGCCAGGAGCCCAAACGGGATCCTCAAACACCAACAAAATCCTTGGGCTCTACGTGGCAGGGGCGGACCCGACACCGAAATGGGGTCTGGACATGTCGGAGGTCGGAGGTCGCACTCTCACTATGATGCAAGAACACTCACTGAGAAGCCAGCCAAACTTCACATGACCGTGACCATGCAAACCAAAAACACAACACATGAAGCACAAACTCCAAGTAAAACAGCTGCAGTACCCCATACTGAAGGAAATGAACAGGCCCGTCGGCTATGATATAGAATATCCCTAGGGCTCCAGTCGTACCTCCTCAGAAGGTATGACTGGACCCTCTAAACCCACCCCAGTCCCACCTTCAAAACGAAGGTACGACTGGAGCCCTAGGGTTAGGACCTAGGACGAATTTCATATGTGTTTCGAACGTTGCGATCCGAGTTCTGGCTACCGCTCTGCGCAGGTGGTCATACCACCTTCTCGAATGGTCATTTGAAGATCGTGCCAGAGCAAGGCGCGCCACGGCGCGCGCGCTCGTGGCGTCGCCATCGAGGTCCGCGATGTCCGCCCCGCGCGTGTGGGTTTATTATTCTGTATAGCGACGAGAAGGACCAAAACATGTGATTCTCGGAACAAGCCTGGATACATTTGGATAGCAGCTGTTGTTTCCATCAAGCAGTGATTTCTGATAGGGCCTTTGGCCTCCAATTGTTCTCCATGTTCGCCGTTTGACCATCCGTGTCATCGCTGGGCCCCCAACAGCCCAAGGCCCTCAGAAGCCCAAGACGTCCTAAAGGTTTTGCCCTAGGGCTCCAGTCGTACCTCCTCAGGTTCGGTATGACTGGACCCTCTGAACCAACCCCAGTCCCACCTTCGAAACCAGGGGTACGACTGGAGGTCTAGGCTTACGGGAGTATCACCGCCATACCATACCCCTTAGACTCTTCCGAAACTGCATGGCAGTTCGCCGTGAACTCGTGCGCATGCTGAGGCGACATGTTGACCTTTGGATACCTGGTGGATGGGCGAATCAGCTTAGAGGCAGTGCACATGGGGGATGATGGATGCGGCAAAGCATGGTGTTAGTTTTATACAGTCATTGGTATGTCATTGCAATTTATCTACATTTAGCATTCCCAAGTCTGAAGCTTCCAATCCGTTTGGATCAGTGAAACAAACTTACACCACCCCTTCCCATCTACCCCTTAAAACCAATCCAAACGGATTGGAAGCTTCAGACTTGGGAATGCTAAAGTGGTCCTGGTAGATGAACTTGGTCCAACTGGATGCTTTGGGAGGAACATGTTGCAAGCTGCATGTAACATTTAGCCTAATCATAGTTGAGCTTCTTGCTTACATAGTGATTCAGGGAACGACGAGGGTCGCTACGAAGGAAGCGGACACAACACCAGTAGCCCGCACGGCAGGCGAACGTGTTGACACTCCTTTGGACAGCTATCGACAGAACTTGAACGTCGCTGTCGACAGATGAGATAACAACAGTCCTGTCATCGGACTGGCAGAGTTCACCACAAAGGGTCGTTCATTTCAGGGGTCGCCATGTATCCCTACGTTGGTCAAGTCGACCAAGCACTGCTCTGACCAGGGGTACTTCTGGGTCTTTGGACTTGTATAGGGTAAATATATCTATACATCTGGAGTCGACCAATTCGTACCTCGGAACATTGGGTATCTATGTACCACAGTACGAACCACTTGGTACCTCGGAACATAGGCACGAAAGGTCCGTTAGGTCCAGGTATCATTTCCAGCCCCATGAGTCGGGGGTTCTAGATAAGATGCTAAGTGCCTCCCTCTTCTTGCACAAGAGGGAAGACACCCTGCCTAGTACTCTGCCTTATCTATGCCTGAAGGATGCTGGAAACGCATTGACTTTCCAGGGGTCAATCATGGTATTGGTGCTACCAGCCCAGCACCTTCGGTGACCAGGGTCGGCTGGAAGGCTCTTCCAGCCGATCTCCAGACACCCCTGATTGACAGGGGGGGGTCGGTCTGGACATGAGGTATCAGAGAATTCATGGGAGTCGATGTATGCCAGGTTCTTCAGTTCGTGACCGAACTTGATCCCCTGGTTTGAGGTCACGAACAGGCCTGGAAATGGTCACAGACACAGGGACTCCAAAAAGGTGACTTTGAAGAAGCCGGTAGGTGAATATTTCAGTCCCATGGATTGTGTAAAGGTTAGTATGCCTGGGAGATATGCCCTATGGCTATGCCGCTATGGCTCCTGAGCTGCGGTGGTGAAGTGGGTGTCCTGGAAATCGCCTTACTCCACCTGAGGAAGTGGATTGTCAGGGTAAACATGGCGTGTCCGGGTAACCCCTCTCTAAGGCTCCGAACGGCCCACATCCTCAGGTTCGGGTGCTTAGACCTTCACCGTCCTTCACCCCCACCCCAGCGGCCCAGCGCGGCTCGGACCGCTGAACCGCGACGGAACCGGCGAGTCGAACCGGCACCGGCACCGCGAGCGGCGAGCTCCGGCGGTCGTGGTCGTGGCAGGAGCACAGCGCGTGCCCTGTGCGACGTGGGCAGAAGTGGATTGCCACCCAATGGTATCGAGCCTTGGCGAGTGCGAGGCCGAAGCCTTGGGGTCACGATAAAAACAGACCAATGCTGGAAGGCGACATGACCCGAGCCGCGCAGAACAGGTCCAAAATGGTGCAAAAGAAGAACCCATGTTCTGAGGTCCGGACTGGTCGACTCCAGTTGCCTTTTTGGTCTTCCAAGTGGCCATGGTCTACTTCCATGGGCAAGTGATGCAAGTGCTTTTCACATGACCATGGGATAGTAGGACAATTGTTTGTGTCGTTTGGGGGTTGTACATGCTCGGTGGGGTGTTTGCAAACTGTTATATAAGTCACTCTAAGAATGTGAGTCTGTGTAAACAAAATACGGCAAAGACCATCCATGTGAGCATTCCTTCTAGAGGAGATGTCCTCTAATCACCACGCAAGCAGTGCCATAGATCACTCACATGGTAGCTGACATCCCAAAAACCATCATGTTGAAAAGATCCTGATGATACGTAAGTACCTGGATTCTGAGGAGTTCTGAGGGGTGCCCCAAGAATGGGTCATGACGCTAATAAACAAGTACTTGGACATATTTAAGGAAAGTGGAGCTGGAACAACAAGTACTTTGGGGAGGCGTGATGTTCTACAAAGGGGTGCCGAACCCTAGGAAGTTTGGCCCACCATTTACTGAATGGGCTGAATCCATTTGAATCCCCTAACGACCATTATTATCCACTGGATTTTACACTACTACAGGTCACCAGGCTGTTCCCATCCATGTTTGAGTGGTCCAACGGAAGGCCAACAGACAAATCAAACTCCCAGCGAATCTTTGCGTAGGAAGTAGACAAAACAACTATCTAAGACTCCTCAGTTGAAGGGCTTTCTTGTTTATTTGGGAATGGATCATGGCACCTGGAGCCCAACCAGTCGTCCACCATTTGCCGCGAACTATCAAGCGTTCGGTATCCTGGTGTTGACCCACGAAGGAGTTGAAACTGGGTGGCGCTTCTGGCACAAGTTCTTTGGATCTTTTTAGACCAACTCAGGAGCCTCCAGAAATCTTGCCCGTCCTGAAAGACCATTCCTTGGTTTCTGTACGCTCTCACTGGAATCTTTGGAACATCCGAAAAGAGAGTTCAAAGATGTTCAAACATGTTCTACCCCACTGGGGTTGTGTTGGACGCCCTCTATTTCCTCGGACCTGATTTACTGATGATTCTGTTTGATCTCCCTGTATCTGCTGCCACCCTCCTTTCGAGGGTGATGTGTTTCGACTCTTCATAGGAGTGGAGGGTACAGTCGTACCGAACCTGAGAAGGTGGCAGTGGAATGTTTGATGTGGCACCTTTGATCCGTATCGCAAACGATAAGGATCTACAAGTTATGTCCGTGCCAGCTTCATTTAAGGCTTTTTGGAGGGAGACAGATCCAACCCTCTTGTCGGGTCTTTTCCTTCAGCAGTGTCCGACGTGTTGTTTGGTTTTGCGGTTTTCGGATGATTTTTATGGTTTGACATTTTGTGGCATGGGGAAGAGTACTTTTCCCACCCGGAATCCCAAACAAACCACTACTGTATGCAAAAGAACATCCAGAACTGTTTCTGGTTGGGACCGGGGGTTCCATGCGAAAGTCTGAGTCTATGGTCTAACTCGGGTCTCACGTCGCTGTGCCGACTCCTGCGCAGCTGTTTCGTTTTCAGGGTGTTTGTGTGGGGTCGCCGGCCGGTTTTGGTGGCGATGGGTTCTGCAGCACCCGTTGGGCAGCCGCCTCGGCGGACACCACTGGTGCCTTCGACCGAACAGACCGCGTGCCAAACGGTAGTCACGTTCGGTGCGTACATGTTTTTTCGTACACGGAGAGTGCGATCAGTGATGTGAAGTTCCAAGCAGTGTCCCTCTGTAGGGGCTAAAGTGACCTCAAAAGATCTCAAAGGGTCTCATATAGGTATTCCACAAATATCGGGTTTTCCTCTTGTAAATATCTACCGGTGGAGGATGTGGCCCATCAGCTGCCACACGGCCCTTGTTGAACGGCAGTTCTGTTGCATTCGGATTGTAATGGAATGTCAGAGTGTGCTCAAAGATGCTCAAAGGGCTCCTTGAACATTGATGTGTCCAACTCCAAAGTCCAAGGCTTCTATCGGACTTGGGCAGGAAGAATGGTTATAGTTCTTGGGATTGACACTAAGACCGTCTGAGTTTGACTGGGAGACTCCTAACCAATAGTCTATTTCCCTTCTTCCAGGGGATCTTTCACTGGGAGGTCTCCCTAGTTGAGCTGCGCAGTGAGGCAACTTCGTAGTGAGCTTGACAGGTGGGGGAAGGTTGCGAGGCCGGACACGAGGCCGAAGCACCACGACATCGCGTGGTGCTTCCTTCGTCTACGCCCAGACACGACCTGTTTGGGACTGGAATATATCCTAGAAGCTGATTGACCTCTGTTTTGGAGCCAAAACATGGTCTTTTCCTATCAAAACACAGGTCATGTCTGGGTTCCAGGTATACATTGACCCTGTATACAGCAAACTATGGCAGTCCAAGGCCCAGGTCGTGTCCCAGTGACGACTGGTCCAGCCCCCGGTGTACGACCTATGACATTGGCGTCCCAATGGGATTTAGACCCATACCCATACACTCCATGTATGCAAATATCATACCCTAGCGCTCCAGTCGTACCTTCGTTTCGAAGGTGGGACTGGGGTGGGTGCCTGGAGGGTCCAGTCATGCCTTCTGAGGAGGTACGACTGGGAGCCCTAGGGATACATTGGGATGGTTTCAGGGGTGAATGTGATACCTGCAACTTCGTGGTTGCTTTTTTCGGGGGTCGTTAGTTCAACATACCTTCATTTCTAGGTCTGTGAACCACATAAACATCCGCAACCAAAGTAAACACCCGCTTTAAAGGACACGTTCGGAAAAAAAAAAAAAAAAAACGCCTGTGGCTCGCCAATAAACGCCCTTAGCTTGTGTATAAACGCCCGTGGAATATTTATAGGCTGTGACACCAAAATATGATTGTCACGCCGCAGATCGAAAGAAACAACATCATTCTGAGGAAGTTCCAGGTATATGCTTAATATGCCATGCGCAGAGTGTCTGGGATAGGGCTTGGACCTTCCCCCTCGAGAGGGCTGGGAGAAAGAAGAACCTGATGGGATCCACGCCCGTAGAGGTGGTACAGTGATGTGTTCGACGCTGTGATGTAGAGATGGTTCAGTCGTACCTTCTCAGACTGGACGACGAATGGGACTGGACGACGAAGACGACGGACAGGCGGTTATCATCCATGTTCATTCATGCTACGTGACTCTTCCAGACATGGATGGTCCAAGTATGTCCAAGTATATACCTTCTGGGTTAAGGTAGGACTGGATCCCAACGGGATCCTCCGGTGCGAAACGGGCCGACTTTCGTACCCCATGACTGCACCGCGAAGAGTTTGCTTCATCCAAACCTCCGACGGGCTGGATTGATCTTTGGATGTTTGGCCAGTCCTGAGACTCTTAACAGATCATTCTACCCACGGACCAGGTCCGACCAGTCGTTCCAAACCGACAACTCCAAGTCACTCGGTCCCACACCCTATAGCTGGATCAACCAATCGGTCACCACTACACAACATGGACCTCCAATTTTTGGAGAAGAAGCCATTCTGCCCCGGAAGATGTTCATTCTGAATATCATGTTCATTTAGAATGTCAATCTGAATATGTTCATTCAAACATGTCTCCTTCTTTCTTATGTTGATTTGTCCTTCAAAACCAAGGTTCTCTCTGACATTCCAGAAGTACCAACAAGAGAGCCGCTTGTCATTAAATATGATCAGCAGCCTTTGCCCCAAGGACTGTTGTTTTTTTCAGTTGGGATTGCTGCACTTGAAACATTGTTCGGCGTTTGATTCTGGACTGAGGACAGCTCGCATGGCTTGGCACTAAATATGGTCAATCCTGAAATGCGTTGACCAGCTATACGACATGTCTTCTTTCAAACTTCTGTGGAGATACTAGACCCCGTGGATCCCAAGATATGACATGTTATGACTACTAGGGTTTCAGTCGGTCTATATGGCAATAGCTTTACTCCGGTGATTGGACCTCCCGACGGCCTGGGTGGACCTGAACGAAGCTGGTTCACTGGGCGCCCTGTAAAAGGTCACTTGGGGACTCCACAGTTCAACGAAGTCAAGAAGCTGGAAAGTACCTGGACATGATGTGACATGACCCTATTAAGAAAACAGGTGCATGATACGTGTCGCCCCATTTTCCCAGGCACGGCCCATCGGGGGTCGACTCCCAGTTGGTCGGGACGACCGAGTCCAGTCCTTAGGCCCAGCATCAAGTGGGAGGGCGAGCTGGAGTGGATCTACTCCCGCACGAAGGCCTACACTGCTGAGGAATGGGAGGCGCGCAGTCTACGGCGTACAGACGCTGTTCTCTTCCTTCAGAAGATGCGAAGTCGACACGTGGTGCGACGAGGAAAACTGCACGCGGTGTAACGGTTCATGGGCGCTGGAATGGGGGATTCCGGACCGCATGGAGATACTGTATGGGTTCCAAGAGAGGTTGAACAGCCCTTTGTCGCCCATCCCATATGTACAACTACAGGGTCCTAGTTCTGGTCTCTCAACCTTTCTTGGTTTGGACTTGGCGCCAGGCCTTAATTCGACTCCACCCGAAACACGGCCAGTAGGGCGCTTCGGTATGGTGAGGTGGTCCCTCTCAGAGGCGACTGCCACTCTCGGCAACTGCTATACATGTTGGTGAAGGATCCATTTCACCCTACTAGTAGTTGTGAGGGTCACCCAGACCGTGAACGGGTTGGGTCCTAACTCTTAGCCTGTGGAGGGCGTTCTGGGTCATTGCCTGAGGGCTGTGTTGACCCGAGGGGGTCATGTCCTGAACCCCGACCTTCCGAGCTTGGTTTTTGGGTACACCCCGCAGCATCACGGAGCCAGCTAGAGAGGTTTGTTGTGACCTATGCTACTGGGAGACCTACCAAGAGAGGTTTTTCACAGCCCGTCTTGTCGCCCATCCCATATGTAC